ATTTTGGAAATCCGGAAAGTTAGGGGCGAGAATATTGGAAATTTTGGAATTGAGTTTGTGAGGGCTGATCGCCACCCATCCGATGACACACCATGCACATCTACTCAGTTGAGAGGGCATGGTCTGTCAACGGGGGGGGCGACCATATAGATATATACATACATACATACATACATACATACATACATACATACATACATACATACATACACACACATACAAAGACCCTTCAAACACTGCGTTGATATTCAACATCAAAAAGTGTTTCCTGACAAATAGCACAAAGCAAAAGGCAAGCAACAACAAACAGCAAACAACAAGCACAAAACGCAGAAGCAACAAGCAAGAAACAAAAACACAAATACATAAATTGATTTAGTTCTTTTGGCCTTCCTGTATATACTTATTTATGTCTGTGTCGTTATTCTCCTCAGTTTGAAATCTATCTGTTTGTCTTGTCTTATGTCTCTCTTTCTGTCATTTGATTATCTTTTCTCTGGCTCTGCCACTATGTATTTATTTCATTCTTCCTGCAGCTTGGGCTTTCTGTCATTCGTTCTTGCCTTCTCTCTTTCTTTCGCAAAAGTAAACAGAGAGAAAGTGTACCTTCTCCCCCGCGCTCCAAGCGACTTCTCTTTGCTTTCATAGGGCGTACTGTTTCGGTCCCTGGCCTAGTGGCCCCGCATGTGTTATGGGGCATTGAGGGGATGTGAAAGTTTTGCGTATGATATCTTCGCGTGCGGTGTGGTTTGGAGGAGAAACTGGTACAAATAGAAACTGGTATAACATCTTATCTGGCAAGCGACTTCTCTTTCTTTCGCCAGGGCTAGGGGCAAGAGGGGCTTGAAGCGACTTCTCTCTCTCTCTCTCTCGCTCTCTCTCTCTCTCTCTCTCTCTGTTTCTCTCATTCAAAGCGTCTTTGCTTCTGCCTGTGTTTCTTTCTTCCTCCCTTTTGCCCCTTAGATCTTTACTTATAGCCTGGGGGTCGGGAGACCGAAGACCAGAGGACCCTCGGCCGACAAGACCAAGGGACCAGGGGACCGTGGGACCAGGGGACCAAGGATGGGAACAAAAAGGGAGCACAAGAAGAACAAATGAGTGAAAAGCACGGCCCTCCGTAGAAACCCTCGCCTGCTTGATCTTTTGTCATTCTTCACACAAAAGCGAGACGGATGGCTCTACAGCTTTGACGTCCTCGACAGCCTTACGCCTGTAAGAAAGAGCCCTTATCTTGGACGAAACCCTGTTGTCAGAGGTTCTTCGTGCCGGACTTGGGTCTGAAAGTTTTACGCTCGGCACGCTGCTGTCAGAACTCCTAGGATGCACTAGGCCTGCTGCTCACATTTCCGCTTTGGGCATGCCGCACCTGGACCAACAACACGGCAAGCTCTTCGCTGAGCTTGGACCAAGGGAACCTCAGATTCTGAAACCGTCGAAGAGCTACACATCCGGCCAACGGGAAACCCCCAGTCCGAAGGATCCAAGCTGCCAACGGACAAGGGCTGGGCACACCCTTAAAATTGGAAAGCACTTCCTGGGGGTGTGGGAAAACACGCTCTCCTTGCTGGAAAGTGTCGCGAATGGGTCTTTCTCTGCATCCTAGCGATTCGGCGAAGCAGGTTGGAGTCGCGCAAAGATCGTGCGATTCAACGTGGCACTTGGCCTTCGACGCTCAAGCTCCCAATCCTCGATGTGCCGTCTTACAACTTCGACTTCAGTTTGTGCCATTAACCAGGTTGTGCGCCTCAAGAGTTGGCGTATCCTTTCTGTCGAGTCGCACCTGCGAAAATGCTTAGGATGCAGCGTATCTTGAACGCCTGACGGCCATGACTGTGTCGCTTGCATGCATGCTACGGAACTTAGCAAACAAGTTGTCGGAGTGATGTTCAAGTGTTGCAGCTCCTTCTCTTGATCCTTTGATCTACCGAACATACCAAACAGGTGTCCGACCTTCCACGAAGTTGAATGCACAGTGCACAGTGTGCACAGTATATGTTCTGGAATTGCTGAGTCTGGGTTTGGAGTTAAAAATTCTCACTTCTGGCTGATGACACTTCTGAGCCCACAGACAAAGTGGATGCGAGACCTCGACAGCCCTCTTACATTTCACGAGTCTACATATGAAACGACAAATTATGAAATCTCAGGGCATCCTCAAAACTCAAAACTGCAAAGCATCGGGAATTATGTTTGATGCAACCGAAGAAGTAATGATTTCGATATTAAGACTGGTTGTGTTTGACCAGAAACGGAAAACCCTATGCACATTGCATCCTCGAAACCTACAGGAAAAGCTAGGGACACGTCCGAACAAAGAGACTGGGAAATCAGAACAACCATGAACAATGGCGTCCGGTGCTTCTGGAATCAGTTGATGATTTAGCGTACCATTGCTCATGCTGGATGCAGCATTCTCACACCAAGAAACACTCGGCAGACGATATGAAGACAATCACATATTGTGCCTGTGCGAAATACGACCAAAGCTTGCCGGACTCCGCCTTGGCTAAGACTAGCACTTACGTCTCGCAGGATCACCAGAATCAACGCTGTCTGCTTGCCGCTGTGCCATTGCACTGCTCTTGCAAAACATTCTGATGATCCTCTGGAAACCCCAGCCGCCCCAGCCCCTTACAAACTTCGAAACCCTCCGTACCCGGTCCTTGAACAGCTGCACCAAGGCTGCGCTGCCCTGCCAAGTCTCGGCTTAACATGTGTCTGCGAAGACATGGAAACAAAGGTACATCAACGATGCAGACAGAGAGAGGGAGGAAGAAAGAGAGAAATGGCGACCAGCCCCCCTCCCCTCCCCGCCTCATGATCCACCCAGTCTTCTTGCTAACTGTTCATCTACAGTCTTCTGAATGCCCATATGTGTTCTCCTAGCAGGCAGATCACCGTACTTCTTTGTTATATGTGTGACACAAGTGCACCACGCGCGACCCAATCAGATTCGGTTTCTGGGATCTTCCGATTGGCTGTCGATAATTGGAAAACAAAATACCCTTCTCAACGAACAAAAACGTTGGTATTGAAAGAAAAGTGTCTCCTCCAAATAAGAACTAAGAACTAAGAGAACCAGTAGAATCCTGATGAATCACAGAGAAACACAAGAAGGCTGTTTCACCCTGTCTCAGCGGCCAGAACGAAAAAGGTTCTTTGGATGTGGCAATGACGAAAAGACAAGCCAGAGCTTTTTTATTCTTCTTGATGCTGAGGAAACGAGTGAACTCCTTCCACCAAATGTTGAATGCATCCGATCATTAACCGTTAAAGTCATTAAAGTATGTCGACCTTTCAATGCTGCATGTCACGAAGAGAACAGCTGCTCTGTTCTTCATACCGTATGATCCAAGATGACTCCGTTGCAAGAAAGACTTTCTAAAAAACACCAATTTCTTGCTGGTCAGCAGCAACAAGCAACAGAAGGACCAAGAACTGCTTGAAACACCGCCTTCTGCTTTGCCACTTGATATCTGCAAAATATTTGCCTCTCTTCTCAGAAGAAGAAGCACAAAATCCTGGTTTGTTAGAAAGCACTTAAAATGACTGCTATTACCCTTGCGCACCAGCAACAAACAAAAGAGCTGCTATCATCGCAACAAGACGTGAAATACCTTTGAAAACCTGTACAAAATCCCTGTACGTCTGGAGCCCACATTATCTCAAATTCGCCTGGGTGTGGCCCAAGCGGTCAGAGGTTCCCTCTTTCCTCTCCAGGAACGTCTTTCCGCCCCCCTAAAAATTCGATTTTGGCCTCCAAACCTCCGCCCGCCCCCCTGCGTCGTCTTATTGGGCCCTGCACCTGCGACCGTGCCAACGACGCGAAGCGTTCAAAATCTGATGTCAAGCCCGAAATGCGGAGACTCCTGGGCAGGGATCACACCGCTCAAATTCACAAAATCCTGAGGATTATCCCTGCGGATGTGTTTGCATCTAAGGTTGCCAAAACACCGCCAAACTCACAAATCAACAAGATTCCTATAGTCTGATATGCAAAAACCTCGGCAGATCAAACATCCGCTCATTCCTAAATCCCGGCATCTGTGTGGGGATTGCGGGCCAATGGCTGCTCAAATTTCCCTGCCGAGGTTTTCGAACTTCACACTTCAGGCGTTTGGGTCTGGGGCCCCATCCTCCCCCAATCCTGATCAGAAGGAAGCTGGGATGGATCTGGCGGTGAGGGTGTGAAGACAGACCGAAAGAGAGAGAGAGAGAGAGTGTGTGTGAGAGACAGAGAGAAAGAGAGAGAGATGCATATACATATATGACATGTATATATATATATATGCACATATATATATATATATATATGTTACCACCCCCCTCCCACGAATCTGCGAATCGGTGCTTCTGCAAATTTGAAGTGTTGCTTTTTCGGGTGGGTGCCATAGACATATACATGTATGTATGTATGTATGTATGTATGCATGCATGCATGTATGTATGTACCCACATATTGCATTTCCACGTGTATATGCGAGTATGTATATCTATATATATATATATATATTCTCATATGCAGGCAGGATGCCAAGGGCAGAAAACCTGCAGGTGCCCCTGACCCTGCAACACACAAAGTTGGGGAATGCTCCTCGAGTCAAGGCTCTTTGGAAGTTTCGTTTCGAGGTGTTCACGGCCTGGTCGCAAATGCCCATGAGATCACAGAACCGTGGTTCGATTCCTTGGGATTGAGGATTGGGACCGGGACTGGGGATCTGGGCGATGCCCCTCCAGGCCCTGAACAGCAGAAGCTCAATGGGCCAAAAAATATCTGAGCAGCCGTAGAAAACCGCAGTGATGGGCACGCCCGAGAACCTTCAGGGCACAGACGGACTAGACCTACTCGGATCGGGCAGCGGACAGGCGAACGCCTCAAACCCGAGCCTCCCAAACTCAAACCGCTGACCCCATGCCAAAGGAGCACTTTGCTTGGCCAGAAGCGCCTCTGGCAGCACCTTGCAAACCTTCTTCGACCTCGAGCAAAGCCCCGAGCTCACACCGCCAGCCTAAAGCGGTAAACAAATTCCTCCGGGCTGTGAGAATGCGCTGCGCCTCCTTAGCATCTCCACTGGCTCAAGTGACAGCGTCGCATGGGTGCCGAGAACCGCCAGACCTGGATCTGCCCACTGATCGTTCAAGAGTTCGGGATAGTTCGGGCTGGAGTTCACGTCTCAGGGCTCAGGGTCAAGTCTCGCCGAGAACAAAGATCTTACCTCCCCTGAACATGGGCCGAAGAATCGGCATAGTGCCTTGCACTTGCATTTGTACGGCCTCGTTACATTGCCGAACAGTGACTTACATCCAACACTGGCAGCCCTGACCTGGGTATCTGGCAAAAGGTTAAAAAAAAAACGAACAGTACATCTGCACCGAAGGGCGAATATTGGCGGGTAGCACAGCCGATGGCTGTGCAGATTCGGGTCGCCAGTACAACGATTCCAGCGCTACTCGAGGAGGCTGCACGGGATGCGTGGCATTGTAAGCGTTGTAGCCTTGTGCGGGAGACAGTTTCCCTGCCCTTGGGTCGGTGGATGAGGGGATCTTCAGAGTGCAGGTTCAGCAAATGGCAGCAAGCTAGATGACATGAATCAAAATGGCTCCCTTGATTCGAAACTTGCAGCAAATCTGAAACACATATTGGCCAGTTTCACATGCTCATCAGGCGAACCCCTCACCTTGCAGAAGCCTCATACTCAGCTAAGGCTCTCATGAACTCCTGCGGGGTGGGTTGGAGCTTTTCTGATTTCCGCAGGATCTGCCAAGGGTCAGCCAGTGCGTTAGAGTCATCAAAGTCAGGAATTCATGCATGGTAGAGATACGCGCATTGAAGGTGCAGTCTTGTCACAAGCACCATCATATCTAAGGGCTGAGGGCTTCACTCATAAACAAAGCAGACAACACTGAAACAAATCGTCGCCCTTGAAACTGTAGACCTCAACTGTGCAGACGACAAACATGCATGAATAGAGCTAAAAACAAAGGTTTCCATGCCTCTAATCTCGGTAACGGAAAGAAAGGAAAACCTCTCAGCACCATGTCAGGCCACAGCTGGTGCAGCCCAAAGACTCCTAAAGTCTCTTGAACTTGCAAGTTTGGGACTTTTGGGACCCTGCGAGGGAAGCGTCGGTTTGGTTGATGTTGATGAAGGCATCGATAATCGAGACCGGCCACGGAGAAGAATCCAGAAAGTCCATGGAGCCTTCCTTTCCTGAGTGTTGTCGCAACGCCGGGCTTCGTCAAATGACCGTCTTTTTGGATAGCATTGCTAGGCGTCCGGTGGTGTCGAAGACAAGCTGAACCCAGCAAGCTCCTCTGCCCTTGGCCCTTGAGGCTCAGTCCTAGAACGGTGGTGGCGTACTTGAAATCGATCTCTGCAGACTTTCTCACGTCTGGGTCCTGGGTGTTGACAACTTCTAGTTTTGGTCTTCTGAATCTCGGATAAGCTTACATAAACGGTTGTCCTGGGAAGCCATGATATGCCGCGAACGGATGATCAGCGCCGCCACCTGAGAGGTTTTGAGAAACCGCCCCACACCAGATCAGAGGCATCCTATCTAGAAGCAGAGCAAAAAAAGCACCCCCAACAACAGGCATGCGAAAACTGCCGACACGCCACCCAAACTCGACGCCTCACTCTGAACCTGAATTCATTCAACACAAAACACTAGGAGCACAGTTGAAGCAACGACAGCCGTTGAACATTACAGCCAGACGGCATCTTGGAAACCTACCCTCCGACCCTGCAAATCATAAAACTTGAGAGCCCCGGCTCGAAACGTCCATGGAAACTCCAATGAACTACAGGAGGCTGCGGCAGCCTCTTTCAATTCCGGCGGGCTGCAAAGCCCCAGAGGCAAAAGCGATCCGGCAGAGGCCACGGGGCCTCGGGCCCACTGCAGAGGTACTTGAAGAAGTCCTGAACCCAAACTCACTGAAGCGGGTCTACGTGTTGCTGATTCTCAACTCGGCTATAACCCAACTCGCAGGCGCTCCTGTGGTGGGTAGGGCTTGTCCTGCCAAGAAAGCAAGATCTCCTGTGCCTTCCAGCTGTCTCGTGCAGGCTTTTTCGGGTATCGAGGTTATAGGAGAAACGCGTGGGAAGCGTTCTCGCTTGATGCCAAAGTCAACAAAAAGGCGCAAAATGACCGACATAGCCACGCCACTCAGCCCTGAAGCCCCTCCCATGTGCACACAAGGCCACAAAAAAAGAGAGGAAAGCCGAGCGATGACACAGGATCGGCGGCGTAGGCTTTCAGAGGCTTCGCATTTGGAGCTTCGCTTCGTTCTCGCGGCCGCAGGGGCCGCACTCGCAGAAAGAGCCCGCTGCGCTGCCCGATTACCCCGCCTGAGGCAGAGGCACAGGAGGCCAATCGCCCGGAGACCGGGCGTGGCCCGATTCGGTACGAATAGTCATGTTGATATTAATGTTGATTTCGCCGCCGGCCGCGGGCCGGTCGTGGGCGGGTCGGCCACGGGGCCGAGTGCCATATTAGGCAAGGCGGACGCGCTGTCAACGCATGAACATTAATGCGGGACTGCAGAGAATTTCCAGCTGGTCATCTATTGAGTGCCCTTCTTAAGAGCCCGCTCTTTCATTCGGGATGTGAGCTTTGCGACACGCGCGCATGCTGGCTGGCGCCGCTGAGCAGGAAACCTTACACCGTGAATCCCCAGCTTTAACTTCTTTCCTCGGAGCATGCTATGGTCCGAGAAGCACTGCAACTTCAACGTGCGCCGAGTACTCTTCAGTGCAGAGGTTCAATTCTCACGACGAGCCTGAAGGAGCAGGTCTTCGTCTCGTGGGAAGTCTTTGCGCGCGTTGGCTGCGACCTTCTGCTACAGGGTTGGGGATGTTGAGGGTATTAATGTGTCCGCAGATTACACTCACTTTCCCTGAACAATTTGGGGGCACCGGGCAAGTCTCTCACACTTCTTGTACCTAGAGTTTAATGCCCCCTCGCCAAACATGAACCGGTCAGGTAAAAGGCCCAAGGTCAGGGGTGGAGGGGTGGGACACTCGATTCTTAATTCCACTGACTATATAGGCTGACCCTCATCACCCTCAACTCGTTAGAGTTCTCCAACTGCAACCTTGACAAGTCTGAAACTTTGATGCGTGCTTATGCCGAAACCCCCAAACCCACACACAAGCACCCACAGAACGCTAGAATCTATCTCAAAGCACTCCAACAGTGCCAGGGGTTCAGCATCCAGATCAGGAGATCTACATCTCATTCGACAACCGACAACCAAAGGCATGAAGCCCACCCCGAACACTCAGATACAAGCTCACAGCCACTACCTGGCACCACCTCCCAAAGCAAGCCCCGACAGCGGAGACTCCTGGGCCCCGTGCAGCATCCAAGAAACCTGCCCACCTGCCCGGGTCAAAGGGCTTTAACGATTCAGGCAGTGCTTCCCTCCTTCATCGCAGGATGTTCGCACCCAGCAGAGGGATTGTAGCTCTGGGGCATAGGCTCGGTGTGTGACAAGGGCTTGACATTCTGGGTTCAGGCCGAGTGACATCTCGACGAATAAACAAACATTTGAGAGTCTCCAGGCCCCCTATTCCCGAACTTCTGCCAAAGAACGCACTCAATCTGGCTCACACCGGCTCGAACCCTCCACGTCCACGTGGCTGCTGTCCAAGACGCTCTGGCATCCCCCGGCAAGTGAACGCCTGCACAAGACTTCACACACACACACAAGACAAAACACAAGACAAAACCAGACCAATAGCAAGCATGCACGGTATTCGGGATGAATTTTGCCTCGTGATAGGGGGTTTGAGGCGGAACTACCGCCATCAAACTTAGGCAGCATCACCATGAAGGCACTCAGTGGCACATAGTATGCAGGCTGAGATACCCTATCCCGAATCTCCGCTTGCGCTGGGCAAAAAAGTTGTGACGCAGATGGGTTTTCTTTTAGGTTGTGAAGCCCCGGCGTGGCGAACCCCGGACGTCGAACAGGCCGGACCTGTGGCAACCGTGCATTGCAGGTGCTCATGTGGTCATTGACGTCGAGCTCGGATCCTGAACAAAATCGCTGGTTTGTCGCTCGGAATCCTTGTCATTTCATGGCTGGCACGTGACCGGGAACACCGATGGGCAGATTCATCAACTCCCACCTGAAAACTGAAGGCTTGAAGACACCGTATTGGAACTCTGAAGCCCCTGTAGGATATTGCGTCGAACCAGGCATAATACTCTGGGCTACACTCGATTGCACGTTCACTGATAACGCGGCGTTCGCAGCGAGCCGAAGTCATAGTTAAGACAAGAGTCTTGTGGATACATAGATTGCGCCAGATGCTATCCCAGGAAGCCATGCACAACGAGCACTCTGCCATGGTGACCCCCACAGCATGCTGCAGACTCCCACCCGGAAAATCAAGAGGCCTCGGGTTTAGCCCAAGCGGGATGAAGGGCGCTCCTGCATGACTAATTATGCCAGATGGGTAGGGAAGAGCAAACTAAAGCATCTAAGTCGAATCTAAGTTGCTCATCTGTCACAAGCGCTTGACGTCTGTCCATGGCAGCGCTGAGATTTCGGCAAATTTTGTGACAGCACTGGAACTCTTGAAAATCGGCCCGCGTTGTTGACAACCGGAGATTCCCTGACGCTGAGAATAAGGAAACATGTGGCTCAGTTTGAGACACGCGAAATCTAAAACGGAAGTTATAGATGTTGGTGGCTCGATCAGTTTGGAGCAGACCACACTTCACTACAAGACACATCCAAGCACACATTACATGTGCAAAACTATTGGCCCCGCTCTCTCTCTCTCTCTCTCGATCTCTCTGCCTAAAATTCTTTGTTGAGCCGTATGTGTGTATGTTTACAAACAAGCCAAACAAGCTGAACGAAGCCAAGCCAGCCAAACCGTTCAAAATGGAAACTCTTGTAACTTGTAACCCTACCCCTGTCTAACAGAACCGCTGTCTAGCATAAGCAGTCTCTAGCACAGAGCCATGGCGAACAGAAACCCCTTCCCAACGGAAACCTTGTCCAACAGAAGCGCCTCTCTAATTTAAACCCCTGCCTAAACGCAACCATTGTCGAACAGATCCCGCCGTGTGACAGAAAACCATGGTTTATCCCCATCACATCCACATCTAAATGCACAAATACAAATACGGATGCAGACACAGACGTAGCCTTAGACACAGACATAGCGTGGACATGGACATGCAGATAGAGATAGAAATAGAAATGGAGACAGATATGGATATACATGAACATGCAGCTGCCTCACCTAAATCCCTCGAGAGCAAACGCACAGTTCTTACAGCGGGCGTTGCCCAGCAGGTCGAAGAGTCGGTGCCAGCTGCACAAGAGACCAGCAGACAGCTTTCGTAAGGCTGTAAAAACAAGCTGCAGCGGCCAAAGAAAAGGTGACGGCAAGCTTTTTTCCCTCGAGTGAGGAGTGGCGGGACGTCAAAGCTACGGGAAAAGCTTCGTTTGCCGCATGAAGAAACATGCAGCTGCCTCACCTAAATCCCCTCGAGAGCAAACGCACAGTTCTTTCAGCCACCGTTGCCCAACAGGTTGAAGAGTCGGTGCCAGCTGCACAAGAGACCAGCAGACAGCTTTCGTAAGGCTGTAAAACCAAGCTGGAGCGGCCAAAGAAAAGGCGACAGCAAGCTTCCTTCCACCTGTACGCACACGGCCACAACGGTGGGAGCAGCGTGCGCCGCTACTCCAAACCAGCTGCGAAGAGCGTTAGCCGCTGCTGCAAGAAAAGGCGTGTAGAGCCGGCTGGTAGCAAACACAGGCAGCAGTGACGCGGCGACGGCTTTCATGTGAGATACTACGCATAACAGACAATGCCGCCACTTCTTGAAGATAAGACTCCAGAGTCCCCGAATGGCGGATTCTCATCCTCCACATCAGATCCTGGATGCTAAGGCCTTCCCGATAGGTCCCCGTAAGCTGTCAGCAGGGTACAGTAAGCCATGGCGCACGGGAAGACAAGCTAGCGAGAGCCGAACCACTAAGTCCCTGAAGCAACTACTCTTCAAAACCCGAAACCACGCGGCTTTGGAGCTTGGCAGTGGTGGACGTCACAAGCGACACGTGCTCCAGGCAAGCGATCTTCTCCTGGAACTTCTTGGGTCCCGGGTTGCTGGCCTCGCCAATGCGGGAGCCGATAAACTTCGCACACTCGCCACGTCAAGACGGCGTCGGCTTGCAGGAGCCAAACTCCGGGACGCCAGGTGGTGCGCAAGGAGCACGTTGATCTGCTTCGGGTAGGACTCGGCAACCTTAGTCCACTGTCGACGATGCACGCTGGAGTGTCCACTGAGGCGCTGGTGTCGCGGGCAACCCGGACATCTGACGGCCTGGCCTCCAACAGCTGAGCCAACAGAGAACCTCGTCCTGTTTCCGCCAGGGCGTGCCAAAGGCGCGGTAGTCGACGACCCAGCAAAGGCTGCGCCAGTCGTCGCCAAGAAGACTCCGCCAGTGGGGAGTATCCCACATGTTGCTGCCACGAGGATTCTCGATCCAAACTGGAAGGCTCGCCTTCAAACAAGCTTCGGCAAGGGAGGCGCTGAAAGCGGCGTGGGAGTTCCCCTCCGCGATCTTTTCCCGCATGCTGTCACGGGCCTCTGGTATACCAGACTCTAGACGCTAGACTCTAGATGCGTTTCCAAGCCTTGAAACAAGCATGTTGGCTGGCTTTAGTTGGAGCTCTGGAAAAACTAAATTACAGCATTTTCGGCTGTAGGGGCGGCATTGAACACCAGATTTGTTGAAGCCAAGGCCGAATGCACAGGGAGCAGGCCTTGGAAAATGCATGTGGGCGTCGAGAGCTCAATTTAGCGACGAGTGCGTTGAGCAGGGTCTGGGAAATGCAGAGATGAGGCTTGGTCGGAGCTCCGGGAACTAAGTTTGGGCAGTTTGTGGCAGTTTATGGGTGCCTGCATTTTCGGGTATGGACCACCCGGAACCCACCTCAGAACCTGCCCGGAACCTGCTCTGCTGCCCCGAAACCCTACCGTTCAGAAACCCGCCACAAATCGATTCCGAAACCTGGTTCTGTCACAGAGTGCCCGCCCGTGTGCGCAGAACCTTGCAGCCCGAAACCGTCCCTGCAGCTGTCCCTAAAACCCGTCCCGGAAACCCTGCACCCGCAAGATCGCACTGCTTGGAGCTCGCCTGCAAGGGAACCTGCCCCGACCTGGCCCAAACTCTCGCTGAGGAAAATTCCTCAGTTCCTCATTTTGGGACACCTCAAATTTTCAAGAAACAGTTTACGTTGGCCCTGGGGATGAGCCTGGCGCTGGGTGAGTTCCAAGCCAAGTTCGCAGAGAATAGGGCGGACGAGGCTCAAGATAAGAAGGCGGACAATCCACATGCCACTGAACCACCAGATGACGATCTGCACACCGGACGCTAGAGCCTAGGGACAACAAGCAGATTCTCCGTAATGGATAGGGAAAGATCTCAACCACCTACAGAACCGGGCGATCTACTAAGGATGGCCTTTGACGGGGAAGACTTCACATGGATGCTACTCGCGCACTCGGCTATAGCTTCTATGAGGAGCTAGGAGTGCGGAAGCGAAAGGCGCCGGATACGTTGCCGAAATTCAGCCGGAGGGTCAAGAAGCTGAATCCCGGGTGGCCTGAGTGGCGTTGCTGGCTAACTGATATTTGTCCACACAAAGAGACAGAGAGAGAGAGAGAGAGCCCTGTTCGTGCTAGTGGTTGTTCGGTTGCGACGTCGTCGCTCGGCCAGCGTTGTGGCTAGCTATTCCACAGGCTGTCGTCCTGGGGAGTGTTTCCTGGGGACAGCGGTCGGATGTTCACTAACAATGGCCACCCACTGAACAGAAATCATGAAGGGAGACAAAAGGAGACAAGGCGAGACGCACAGCCCAGGAACCGACCCATGAAGGGAGACATTGAGCCCAGGAACCGGGCGCAATCTTGAGCCAGAATTCAAAGCCCCTAAACAATACTGTTGGCGGAAATATACAAAAACCAAACAATATCATGTAATATCATCTGATGTCACAAAACCATATTATATAACACAATGAAAAAGGATGTTTATGGTATAGTGGAATATGCCATGATGTTATATGATATAACATGTACTGTGCCATGATAAAATATGATGTAATATATATTTTGCAAAAGAATACAATAGAATAGAACAGAACAGACGAGTATGATATAGGATCTTACAAAATCATGAATCATAGTAGGGAGGATAGATTAACGCAAAACACAGCATGAAACATGTGGGATAAGGTTGTTTATATATAAACGACGTGGAATAATATTCTACAATGCAGTACGTTCAAAAGCTATACAAATAACAAACGGAAAAAAACCTGTGATACACAAACCCAATACGGTACAATATGATATTAACTACTAAACTAGAATAACTAGAATATGATATGACATGATAGGCAAAGTCTGGTATACCAACAGATAACAACATTATATAAAAATACGATACAACTTTGCATAATATCATATAATATAGAACAAGGCAATGTAATGTAATGCTTCTACATCATTGAGTATAACACAATGTAATACAACAAATTGAGATTGAAGTTCTATAATACAGCATACTGTAATGTAAATATGAAATTAGATATGTCATGACATGATATGATACGTTGTGTCAGAACAGGCACATCGAAATATCCGTAGAGCTCCCGACTCGCTTGTGACGCCCAAAATTCGAGCATTCTGTCGGGGGAACTCATGTTCCTTCGTGCTGCTCATGACTGCAGACTTCGCAGAAACATCCTTTTATGCATCGGAGTAGTTGGGTTAGACCATCGTCGGAGTTTGGCAACCTGTCAGCACGCTTTTGCTTTTCTGCCGATGATCCACCTGTCGAAATTAATTAATTCCATTGTCGGAACAAGTTGCGAAGGTACTGCACCTGGCGGAAGAGGCGGACTGGGCTTGATCTGGTGAGACCAAGGGCATCATGTCGTCAGATGTAGTGAGACAGCTACTGTGAAGCCACGTCACCAGAAATTATTGTAAGCTCAACACACTTCCATCGCATAGTCGACAGGAAAAGCTTGCACAGCGCCATCTACTGCAGGTCACATGTCTATGCGGCAAACCCGCTGACGCCCCAAAACTGAGTCGCTTGTTATATCTTTTCGACAAAGCCTCGGCCCCCGAGAGCCTCAAACAAAATGCCTCGATACACTCATAGACGCAGCTTTCGAGCCCTGAAGCTTTAGTGCTTTACTCTGAACTTTTAACTTCTGCCATAATGCTCGTCTACGGACCCTAGTCTCTTCGGCGGAGACGACCATCTTCTCAATGCGAACCACTACTTCATGGTCAGTACACGCTTTTGGAAAGTGTGTTTCGAAGTACATGTTTCTGAAAGTAGCAGAGGTGCGGACTGCAAGCACAGGGTGAAAGGACTTCCGCTAGCCCAGATAGACTTGTGAGATAGTCCAGTCCAACCGCAATATCTTCGATCTGAAACCATGTCTTTTCTGGCAAGGCAACTCGAAGCTGAACTCTCAACTCCTAGGCTCAGGCCTTCGCATGGGATAAGACAGGCACATGCTGCTGAAACACCTACCGGGACCTACCTCCTACCATTCCGCTTTCAACCCCGACGAACCACGGAAACATGAGCCCAGCTTGTTGTTCCGAGTTGGACGGGTTCCTAGCGACACTTTTACAGCAACACGGAAGACCCTGCAGCCGGCAACCACTCGGATCCCTTTCCCCAAGCGATTACTGAGCTGCTGGCATGCAAGAAGGCTGGGAGGACTTCCACTTCCCTCCCAGGGTTCCTTCACAGTTCAAGCTGGCACGAAACCCAAACTGAAGATGCAAGGAATGCGTCTGTACATCCGGCAGGCAGACACAAAGGCACAAGTTCAGGCACAAGTTCAACCACTACAAAGTAGGTAAAGGTGTTTCGTTTCTCGAGCTAAGAAATAGTGCAGCCATGATTGCTGAAGACGTCGGCAAGAGTGTAACATGCGACAAAAAGAGGGTCTGTCTGTGTCTGTTGGTTTCTGGCAGTCTCTGTCTGCCTCTGCCTGCCTTGCCTTACCTTACCTGGCCTGGCCTGGCCTGGCCTGGCCTGGGCCTGGCCTGGCCTGGCCTGGCCTGGCCTGGCCTGGCCTGGCCTGGCCTGGCCTGGCCTGGCCTGGCCTGGCCTGGCCTGGCCTCGCCTCGCCT